CCTGCCAGCGTGGCACGGCGATAATTAGTGTGTACACCACTATGTCAATCCTGGTGTGATCTCCCTGTTTGTCTCTTTGCGCCTGGCCTTTTGTCAGTGGTGTGAGAACTGGAGGAGTCGGGGGCTCTGTGTTGTCGCGCTATTAGAGACAGAGATCACCGTTCCTGTCTTGTCTTCGTCTCACGGCCGGATCAGCGTCTCACAGCCTGCCGGATTTATAGTCTGGTGGCTCCAGGATCGGATGGCACTGCCCCTGTGTGTTCCAGGGCGTCCTTAGGGGTTAGGTTCACTAATGTTATTGCTTTATGCCCTTAATAACTGGCCTGGCGCCAGGTTTATTGTTGAGCCTCAGAATGAAGGATGTTGGTGCTGGCAGAGGCAAAGCTGATGTAAGACCAGTTTCTAAAGGCAGGATGTGATTGTGGAGTTTGTCCAACCTCATCTCCTAGAGACAACAGCATATCCTATCTGTAAAAGGATCAGAATGGCTTGGGTAGGTGCTTAAATATATGTGTGTTTTATAAACGGTTTATAAACAGTTCAAAAGGAATCTCATGAGACAGTTGTCCATAGTAAATGCAGTATAAGCCCAGACCAGGTTAACAGATTAACTCTGACCGATACCATGCTTTGTTACTTCAGAATTGTGTTGACCTCAAAGGTAAAACAGTTGACAGAATGGATTTGGGCTGGATAAGACCACATTGTCTCCTCATGTAAAGAGCTGATTTGAAATACCTTTCCTGTTTCAAGTCACTGTTTTATTTTGTATTGCATTGTATTGTAGTCTTGGACAACACTACAGGGAGATATAAGAGTTTTCTTATCATTGCTTTGATGCCTGGTGTGGCTGTGTAGACAGTGTGTGTATTCCCTTTATCAGCAAACAGAGATGTGAGGGCCTGACTTTATCATAGGGAGTAACTTTGCCTTCTTCTCTTAAACACACACACACACACACACAGTTTACCCACCTTTTTTATTAGGACGAGAGTTTACCCACCTTTTTTATTTGGGCGAGAGTTTACCCACTTTTTGTGGAAGTATGCATTGAAAGTATAGGGAGCGTTACTTTACTCACCGCCAACGGCGATCAGAATTTACCCACCAATTATTTGTATCACTATGCACGCACACACACACACGCGCCCGTGCACGCAACCGGGGCGGCTCATGTGCCTCTTGTGTTACCTTAGATCATAGGCAACGCTCCCAAACAGGTCAATACATCACAGTGACACTCTTTGAGAACATACGATACCTAGCAGTGTGTGGGAAGCCAGCCAGACAGCTGATATCAATAACAGCTGGACTTCAATGCAATGTGGCCAGAGGAGTTGCGTGAGTGGTTCATGCATTGACCTGTGGGTTCTTAGTTAGTGCTGGTGGGTTGTGTAGTGAGGCAGTTAGAACGCTGAACTTTAGACTTCTTTCTTTGGTTTTCTAGTGCTCTAACCAAGAGTCAAGAGTTTTCTCAATCAGTTATTGTGGTCATGAAAAACTCAGGACCCTATTCTTGGCCAGGACTCTGTGTCCCCAAACAGAGTAGTAAGTAGTTCTGCTGAGTAATTTTCAGTGGTCATGTCTTAAAGCTGCAATATGTAACTTTTTGGGCGATCCGACCAAATTCACATAGAAATATGTGTTATAGATCTGTCATTCTTATTGAACGCAAGTCTAAGAAGCGGTAGATCTGTTCTATGTGCGCTATTTCTAATTCTAATTCGCTATTTCAATGCTTCCCATTCTTACGTTTTGTTTTTGCGTCTTTTACTTTCGTTTTTTTTTTGGTGGTTTGGATGGTACAATGATTCTCTATACTATACTTGCTTGTTTTGTCACACTATTAGAATATTAGCAACCAGGATGGCAGAGCATTTCTGCATAGTGCATCTTTAATGTTTAACATTTTTATGTATTTGAAGATGTCTTATTTTAACCTACCTTAGCAAGCATTGTTGAGCACAGTACTCATTCTTCTGTAACTGGAGGTAGAGCTGTAAGCATTACAGGATGCTGCATTAGCCTCTGTAATTAAGAGTGGTGCACACCTTGTTGATGATGGGAATGGCTTGTCTCAATATTGAACATCAATTTGTCCTACGATTTTGATATCCGTTCATGATGATCAATTACACCTCATAGCACAACAAACTGCTTAATACTATTTTAGAAATATACCTTTCTTTCTTCAAACATGCATACAACATTGTGTAAAAGTATCATAAAGTTAAACAATTATGAATTACCCACAATCCTCTTAAAACACAGCCATGGCACTATTAAGTATTCATAATATGCAGAAATGTAATAATTCTATATCAGTACAACACAGATAAATCAAGTGTTTTTTACTCAAATATCAATGTGTCTGACTACTATTTTATTATTTTAAGTAAAGATGTAAAACATAAAAAAAATCAAGTAAGAACAACTTAGAAATGTTAGATTGACTTTGAAATATTAAATAATCATAACTTGTAAAAACTCAATAACTTTACATTAGCAGAACACAAATAAAGAAAGTTATATTTACTCAATAACCTACTATTTGTTAACAGTACTCAAAAACATAAATGATAAGAAATCTTAGTTCTACTGACCATTGGAGATGTTTGAGTAGCAACTACTACATTTTTTAAATTAGTTAGGCAGTTACTTTTTATAGTGAATAGCCCACGTGAGTCATTGACCACTCTACTCTACTAATCACATTTGGTCACCAGAAGTCCTTGGCATACCTCAATTTGTGTGTGACAATATGTCATTGCTAGGACGTTCCTGGGTTCTACCTCAATTTGATCACCCTGAGATTTAGTGTGGCCTGACCTGCTGGGGTTATTATGGGCTGTGTGGAATTCTTCAGAGTGCTGTGTGTTAAGGGTCAGGGTCAGGGCTACTGCTCCAGTATGTACATCTTCTCCATTTAGCTAATGGACCTCCTGCATATACTACACTCAAACAGTCAGAGAAGAGTTATAGCTCCCATTGTCTGTGTCTTTTTAGTGGTGCTGTTTGGGTCCTTGAGAATTGCAGTGTGTTCAGGCCTTTGTTCCATCCCAGCACTACATCACCTGATTCAGCTAATTGTGATTAGCATGGGCTTTAATCTTGAAAACAATTAATGAAATCAGGTGTGTTACTATAAATCTGGGCTGGAGTAAAAGCCTGAGCAATGTGTGGCTGTCCAGAACTGAAATTGGGCATCCTGACTTAGTGGCATTTCTTTTTAGCATGCATATGACTCTTCTATCATTTTGCCCTACTAATATAGTCCAACTGTACATGATCAGTCTCACTGGTTTAAGCCTCCAAGGCTAAGTACTGTTACAGTAGGGTATGCATAAGGCTAACATATGTGGTGCATTCCGCTCCCATTCACACATGTGGAGGATCCTGTTGTAAATACAGCAGCAGCTCCATAGCCGCTAGCTAACCCTTAACGTTATGGATTAGCAACGCCACGCTGGCTCACACAGAATACGACGTGTTGAGAGGAGCTAACAGGCCAGACGCTGGTGTGTGTGGCAGGTGTGGTGTGAAGTCGCCTCACACACACTCACATTCAGACACATGGTTCCATATTCAGATATACTCAGGCACACACACACACACACACACAATGGTTTCGATCTGCCAGATGGGTGGTTATGGATGGCGAGGGTCCGTGTGCCAGCAAGTGCCACGGTCATTACAGGAACGGACAGAGACGAGAAAGAGAGAGAGAGAAAGAGAGAGAGACAGTGAAGGAGAATAGCCCTCTTGGGAGCCATTTATCACAACAGGACCTGTTTACTCCACTGGAACAGAATCCTAAAGAAGAAATACGGCCCAATCCGGACAATAACACACAGTCCTGCCACTCTATAACCTCTGAGATAGAATCTTTAGGAGGATTGCTGTGTGTGTGTGTGTGTATGTGTATGGGAATGTGTTTCCATGTGTGCAGGGAGTGTGTGTCGGTCTAGTCAGTCCGTACCTTCTATCTCTGGGCATTTGTTTAGGAAGTGAATCCCCGGCAGACAGGGCAGAGACAGACGATGTGGCCGTGTGTCAATACTTACACTTCGCTGTTTGGATAACGGATTATGAGGGATGAGAGGCAGAGAGATCGACTGAAATGGGATCAGGGCGGAGAGAGTGAGAGAGGGGAGGTAGTGCTCACACGTAAACCAAAAGAGAAGGAGGGAGAGAGAAGAGAGAGAGACAGAGAGAGAGAGAGATAGGAGAGAGAGAGAGAGAGAGAGCAGAGAGAGAGAGATAGACAGAGAGAGAGGAGAGAGAGAGAGAGAGAGGAGAGGAGAGAGAGAGAGAGAGAGAGCGAGAGAGAGAAGCGAGAGAGTAGAGAGAGAGAGAGAGAGAGAGAGAGAGAGATGAGAAGAGAGAGGGAGAGAGCGAGGAGAGTAAGAGCGAGAGAGTAGACAGTAGGCTCTCGACGATACGATCGAGATCTCGCCGCCATTCTCATCTCTATCTGCTCGCTATAAGCTGATCTCATCTCTCTTCTCTATCTCTCTCTCTATCTCTCTCTATCTCTCTCTTCTCTCTCTCCTCTCTTTCTCTTTTGTCTCTCTCCGCTTCCTCTTTCCCCCCCCGCTATCTCTCTTACTAGTTGCTCTTTCCAAGCTGAGGGTTATGAGAGCATTTGGTCTTCTTGAAACAGCTGCTCTATATCACGGGCGTGGTCTGTGGGTCCCAGCATTGGGGCATGCGTTGAGGGATGGGATGGGGTATGAAGAGGGGGAGGTAGGGCTGTGTGTAGGGGGGGCGGGGGCTGGCTCTGGCCCTTAACCAGGCCTCTAATCCGCCTGGGCATTCCGCTCAGGGGAAGGTGTCCATTTGGAGAGGGGGGCTGTCACCATACAGAGGTCTTCCATCCAACCCCTATCCCTCTATCCCAGTGAGCCCTGTCCCTCTCTCCCTTTATCCAATCCCTCTCTCCCTGTGAGCCCTGTCCCTCTCTCCCTTTCTCTGATTCCTCTCTCCCAACCCTCCACAGACCACATTCCCACATTCCTCAGATAAAGCGGTTGGGAGCTGCTCTTCCTCCAGGCTCGGGGCTGAGGGATCGGGGCTCTGGGCTGGGGAAGCTTGTGTGTCAGTGTAGGTGCGTCCCTAAAGCCCCCACTAAAGCTAAGATAGGCGTATCTCCCTCCCTCATGTGTGCCAGACAAAACCCATTTGTTTCTGATCTGTTCCCTGGATTTGGTCCTGACAGCTCAGGGTGTGCAACTGAGAACTACCAAGAGACAGAGAATGAGAAGAGAGAGAAAAGAGAGAGAGAACACTTTTTGCGGGATATGATGACATGGGTGACGGAATGCCTGTATCATATGGAAGCCATCAATTCCATCGCTCTCACTCGCTTATCCATCTCTCTATCTCTCCATTCCTTCATTCCTTTATTAATCTGTCCTCCGACCACACAATGTGTGCCCTTAACAGAGTCCATCCGCAGTGTCATGGCGACCGAGCATAAACAGTGTGTTTCAGAAACCACTCGGGGGCATTTAAGATCTTATTGAGTGTAATATTATCCTGTATACTGTAAACTGTCAACACCATCCACTTACCACAGCCCAGCACTTCTCCATAATGTAGCCGTAGCCCCCGACGGCGGGCGGTCACGCTCACGTCAGAGTTTGTTTGGGAAATATTCACACTTGGATCTGTTACTGTGAGGCTTTCTTCTTTCTCTTTCCTGTCTTCCATCCCTCGGGGGGTTGGTGATAAAGTCAGAGCCGTGGATAAACAGAGGGTAGAGCAGGCTGTCTTAAACCTGGGCAGGGTATCCACAGCCTCCAGGCTGTTAGGACAACACACTCACATCTATTTCTCATTCCTACACTGACCAGCAGCCCTACCCTGGCTCTGTCCAGGTAAACTGTCAGTTAGTTACAGTATCTCTGATCTCTGCTAGGGTAGCTAGTGGGTGTGAATGTGCAAGCGACTTGAATATGGATGTGGTAGAGTGTTAATTAAATCATTGTTTTATTGTCACATACACCAGATAGGTGCAGTGAAATGTGTTGTTTTACAGGGTCAGCCATAGTAGTACGGGCCCCTGGAGAAAATTAGGGTTAAGTGCCTTGCTCAAGGGCACATTGACAGATTTTTCACCTTGTCGGCTCAGGTATTTGAATCAGAGATCTTTCGGTTACTGGCCCAACGCTCTAACCGCTAGGCTACCTGAGATGTGGTGCCAGCCTAAAGGTGTCTCTGTTTTTATCTCTGGTGTCAGATCATGCAGGAGAACGAGAGAAAGAGGAAGATGATAGTGGTGAAAACAGAACAGACAGCTGCATGTTTACTCCAAACAAGGCTCTCATTTACTGGGGAATCACCTTCAAGAGGAATCTGGGATGAAACAACACTCAACATCTAAATTACATACACAACTAGGACACAAATATTCATCAGCATAGCTCAGGGATAGATACAGTGAGGGAAAAAAGTATTTGATCCCCTGCTGATTTTGTAAGTTTGCCCACTGACAAAGACATGATCAGTCTATAATTTTAATGGTAGGTTTATTTGAACAGTGAGAGACAGAATAACAACAAAAAAATCCAGAAAAACGCATGTCAAAAGTATTATAAATTGATTTGCATTTTAATGAGGGAAATAAGTATTTGACCCCTCTGCAAAACATGACTTAGTACTTGGTGGAAAAATCCTTATTGGCAATCACAGAGGTCAGACGTTTCTTGTAGTTGGCCACCAGGTTTGCACACATCTCAGGAGGGATTTTGTTCCACTCCTCTTTGCAGATCTTCTCCAAGTCATTAAGGTTTTGAGGCTGATGTTTGGCAACTCGAACCTTCAACTCCCTCCACAGATTTTATATGGGATTAAGGTCTGGAGACTGGCTAGGCCACTCCAGGACCTTAATGTGCTACTTCTTGAGCCACTCCTTTGTTGCCTTGGTCGTGTGTTTTGGGTCATTGTCATGCTGGAATACCCATCCACAACCCATTTTCAATGTCCTGGCTGAGGGAAGGAGGTTCTCACCCAAGATTTGACGGTACATGGCCCCGTCCATCGTCCCTTTGATGCAGTGAAGTTGTCCTGTCCCCTTAGCAGAGAAACACCCCCAAAGCATAATGTTTCCACCTCCATGTTTGACGGTGGGGATGGTGTTCTTGGGGTCATAGGCAGCATTCTTCCTCCTCCAAACACGGCGAGTTGATTTGATGCCGAAGAGCTTGATTTTGGTCTCATCTGACCACAACACTTTCACCCAGTTCTTCTCTGAATCATTCAGATGTTCATTGGCAAACTTCAGACGGCCCTGTATATGTGCTTTCTTGAGCAGGGGGATCAAAATCAGAAATCAGCAGGGGATCAAATACTTTTTTCCCTCACTGTATACTGTACATGATTACATCGGATCTCTCTCTTTTTCCATCTCTTTGACTTTGCAATCACAATCTGCAATATTTCAAACTTTGAACCTTGCCAAGTTTTTAGGATGATTAGCTGTTTTTGGTAAGATCTCTGCATTTTGTAACGTCAGTCAACTTTTCTCCCCCAACCTCTTCGCTGTCCTATCTGTCTCTCTCTTTCTCCACTCCCTCGCTCTCACCATCTTTTCCAGAGTGATATTGGGCAGAGTGTACACAGCTGTTTTGTAACCCTTCACCAGGGTCTCTCTTTGCACCTGGAATCCCTAAACCCCTCTCCATTCCGCCTCTATTTGTACCCAGCTCTGCTGAGAAAACAAGCCTATCTGAAACCACCCCCCCCCCCCCCCCCACACACACACACACACACAGACAGGATTCAATAAGGACTGCCTCGATCAATGAGACACAGAATGGCTTCAGAGAGTGACAGAGAGACAAAGAGAAAAAAGAAGGAAGGAGTAAAAAAGAACTGAGAGGAATGTAAATGTAAGAAAAACAGGCTGAGTGAGACAGGGGAAAGGATGTAGGTAGAAGACAGAGGGAAGACAGAGGGAAGACAGAGGGAAGACAGAGGGAAGACAGAGAAGAGACAGAGAAGAGACAGAGAAGACACAGAGAAGACACAGAGAAGACACAGAGAAGAGACAGAGAGGAGACAGAGAAGAGACACAGAGACAGGTGTTCATGTGTTTTAAAAGGTGAGAACGGGGTGAGGAGGGATAAGGTCAAATCCCCACTACTGTAGTTTTGCACTCTCTCCACGTCCTGCCTGCCTCAGTGGAAAGCCCTGTTCCACATCTGTTGAGAGTTGAAAAGGGCACTGTTATTCTTCCAACTAAGCCCCAAACCAAACACGACGTCTCAGTTTCAGCGACTGCATCCGTCTCTGTCCCCCCGTCAAGCCGTCTGTCTTCACTCTGACAGCTCCAGCCCTGGACAGGAAGACGCACGTACCTAGGAAGATGCACCAGAGGTCTGTATGATGTATACACACTGGGCCCGAATCAGGATTCATTTGGTGTAGGATTCACAGAACTGTGTGTATCTAAGGAGTCAGCCTGTCTTAGCCTTAGCCTGCAGGGTGGGTGTGTGTGCGTCCCATCAGTGTGTGTTTATGTGTGTGTACTGTGTGTATGTGTGTGTACTGTGTACTGGGAGTGGCCATAGGGTCCCCTCCTGTGTGTCCTCAAGGCCAGAGTTGTCCGCTGACGCCCCCCGCATGCTAACAGGCCTGTGAGAGGCTCTTCAGACAACTCCAACACACTGGGCCAGAACCGCCCGGTGACAAGTGTGGAGGGACAAGAGCCAGCAGGCACAGAGGAATGCAGCGCACACTGTGTGCCAGACCCTACTTTGTGTGTGTGTGTGTGTGTGTATGTTTGTCTCTTTCTGTGTGTGGTTTTTGAATGGAATTGTACTGACTGGCTTGTTTGGTTTGCAATACTGCTTGTTTGCCTTTAGCAGACTTGTTTCCCTAACCAACCAACTATCTGTTTCTATGTACAATGTCCCTCTCCATTTCCTCTGCATTACAAATTCTCTATTCCTCATTGTAGTGCGTGCGTGCCTGCATTCGTGAGTGCGTGCATGCCTGCCTGCCTGCGTACATGCGTGCGTGAGTGTGTGTGTGTTATCCCTTCTGACCTGGGTCGGATCACTTAGGGGATTATGGGTATTAGAGTCTTTACCTACGGTGAGAAAAGGCAACATCATCAGTCTATCTGTGACAGGCCTGATGCAGTCCCAGGGTACGTTCTGCTGGCGTTGTAAAGGTATAACAAGCCCAAACCTGTCTCTCACCCCTCTACTAACCCCTTTACACACAAATGGACATGCACACACAGATCATACACATCCATTCAAATAATTCACACACCACAACACAGCCATCATCCAACCCCTTACACATACAAAATATTACTCTTCAACACTCACTCACAGATCATGTCCAACCCCATTATACACCACACATTATACCACCTCCTCCTACCTGCCCCCATTTGAGTTTTCTCCCAGTAACACACCTTGGTCAGTAATCCCTCCTGTGTGTAGACAGGCTGAGTGTATTCTACCTGATGGATCATCACCCACTGCTGTCTGAGAGAGAGGAGCATTGTGAAAGCGGGGATAGGGATAGGGATAGGCTGGATTAGGGTTACTAACAGGGATAGGCTGGATTAGGGTTATTAACAGGGATAAACTGGGTTAGGGTTATTAACAGGGATAGGCTGGATTAGAGTTACTAACAGGGATAGGCTGGGTTAGGGTTACTAACAGGGATAGGCTGGGTGAGGGTTATTAACAGGGATAGGCTGGGTGAGGGTTATTAACAGGGATAGGCTGGATTAGGGTTATTAACAGGGATAGGCTGGATTAGGGTTATTAACAGGGATAGGCTGGGTTAGGGTTATTAACAGGGATAGGCTGGGTTAGGGTTATTAACAGGGATAGGCTGGATTAGGGTTATTAACAGGGATAGGCTGGATTAGGGTTATTAACAGGGATAGGCTGGGTTAGGGTTATTAACAGGGATAGGCTGGGTTAGGGTTATTAACAGGGATAGGCTGGGTGAGGGTTATTAACAGGGATAGGCTGGATTAGGGTTATTAACAGGGATAGGCTGGATTAGGGTTATTAACAGGGATAGGCTGGATTAGGGTTATTAACAGGGATAGGCTGGGTTAGGGTTATTAACAGGGATAGGCTGGGTTAGGGTTATTAACAGGGATAGGCTGGATTAGGGTTATTAACAGGGATAGGCTGGATTAGGGTTATTAAAAGGGATAGGCTGGATTAGGGTTATTAACAGGGATAGGCTGGGTTAGGGTTATTAACAGGGATAGGCTGGGTGAGGGTTATTAACAGGGATAGGCTGGATTAGGGTTATTAACAGGGATAGGCTGGATTAGGGTTATTAACAGGGATAGGCTGGGTTAGGGTTACTAACAGGGATAGGCTGGGTTAGATCCTAATGATGACCTCTTGACCTGTGGCTGTAGAGTCTCCTTCTGGGGTGTCAAATGTATAACACTGTTATAGTTTTGAGCTAGGGCCAGAGTTTTTCATGGTCAGGTCACATGATCAAGAAAACCTTTATAGGCCTTTAAATTAGATATTGTAGTCTATTGATTCATTTTTCTCTGTTAAAATCATAATTATATATGATGACTACTCATCTCATATGTATATACTGCATTCTATTCTATAATATTATTCTGTATCTTAGTCCATGCCGCTCTGTCATTGCTGCCATTGCTTGTCCATATATGTATATATTCTTGAATCCCATTCCTTACTTTTTTGTGTGTATTGGGTATATGTTGTGTAATTGTTAGATATTACTGCACTGTCGGAGCTAGAAGCATAAGCATTTCACTACACCCGCTATAACATCTGCTAAACACGTGTATGTGACAAATAAAATTTGACTTGATTTGATTTTATACACCCATTGACTCTAAACCTATGCAATATGTCCACCTGGCCCCTTTGCATCAGTATAACATGGATGCAGTACATATGCTAGCAGGCCTGGTGAAAAGCCTCCATGTATTTGTAATTGGGTGTTGTTATAAGGATAAACACTATCTACAATGTTTTGAGCACGTCAAGTGTTCACTGTGTGTTCCTGTGTGTGCGATGAGTGCCGTGTGTGTTTAACCGTGTGTGTTCAACACGTTTGTGTTGACTGACGTGGGTTCACAGTGATTTTAAACCTTGCCCCCACCACCTCTCACACACACACACATGTGGACACACTATTTCCTTGGTGGTCATGGATGCGGTGGTCTTTGAGACCCCTGTTCTGAAGCGTTCAGCCACAGTACTTAACACATGTCACTGCCCACCTTGTGCTCCTGAAAGGAAGGACAGATGTGTACGCTAATTGAGTGACAGCTTTACACAGAAACATGCAAACCTAAAATAAGCCTCTCTGCCCTCTCTGACTCACAGAATAATCCCAGGGACACTCAACACAAGGCCCTTTCCGCCTGGGTGAAATGTGTTTTTTCAAACCACAAATCAATGATAGAGTTTCAAGGTTTGATTTATTTTCAGTCAAATTTACCTCAACCAAAACTGGATGATTCAACGTTTTTGTCCAGTGGGTTCCAGGATTTTACGTGTTAGTCTAAAGCATTACTATAGTCCACTCGCTCGCTTGCCCCTCTCTTTCTATCTTTTAGTGTCTCTCTCTCTCTCTCTCTCTCTCTCTCTCTCTCTCTCTCTCTCTCTCTCTCTCTTTCTTTCTTTCTCTTTAATTTAAGGGGCTTTATTGGCATGGGAAACATGTTTACATTGCCAAAGCAAGTGAAATACAGTGCTTTGCAAAAGTATTCATCCCCCTTGGAGTTTTTCCTATTTCGTTGCATTACAACCTGCAATTTAAATGGATATTTATTTGGATTTCATGTAATGGACATACACAAAATAGTCCAAATTGGTGAAGTGAAATGAAAACAATAACGGAAAAGTGGTGCTTGCATATGTATTCACCCCCTTTGCTATGAAGCCACTCAATAAGATCTGGTGCAACCAATTACCTTCAGAAGTCACATAATTAGTTAAATAAAGTCCACCTGTGTGCAATCTAAGTGTCACATGATCTCAGTATATATACACCTGTTCTGAAAGGCCCCAGAGTCTGCAACACCACTAAGCAAGGGGCACCACCAAGCAAGCGGCACCATGAAGACCAAGGAGCTCTCCAAAGAGGTCAGGGACAAAGTTATCGAGAAGTACAGATCAGGGTTGGGTTATAAATAAATATCCGAAAATTTGAACATCCCACAGAGCACCATTAAATCCATTATAAAAAAATTGAAAGAATATGGCACCACAACAAACCTGCCAAGAGAGGGCCGCCCACCAAAACTCACGGACCAGGCAAGGAGGGCATTCATCAGAGACAACAAAGAGACCAAAGATAACCCTGAAGGAGCTGCAAAGCTCCACAGCGGAGATTGGAGTATCTGTCCATAGGACCACTTTAAGCTGTACACTCCACAGAGCGGCCAGAAAAAAAGCCATTGCTTAAAGAAAAAAATAAGCAAACACGTTTGGTGTTCGCCAAAAGGCATGTGGGAGACTTCCAAAACATATGGAAGAAGGTACTCTGGTCAGATGAGACTAAAATTGAGCTTTTTGGCCATCAAGGAAAACACTATGTCTGGTGCAAACCCAACACCTCTCATCACCCCGAGAACACCATTCCCACAGTGAAGCATGGTGGTGGAAGCATCATGTTGTGGGGCTGTTTTTCATTGGCAGGGACTGGGAAACTGGTCAGAATTGAAGGAATGATGGATGGCGCTAAATACAGGGAAATTCTTGAGGGAAACCTGTTTCAGTCTTCCAGAGATTTGAGACTGGGACGGAGGTTCACCTTCCAGCAGGACAATGACCCTAAGCATACTGCTAAAGCAACACACAAGTGGTTTAAGGGGAAACATTTAAATGTCTTGGAATGGCCTAGTCAAAGCCCAGACCTCAATCCAATTGAGAACCTGTGGTATGACTTAAAGATTGCTGTACACCAGCGGAACCCATCCAACTTGAAGGAGCTGGAGCAGTTTTGCCTTGAAGAATGGGCAAAAATCCCAGTGGCTAGATGTGCCAAGCTTATAGAGACATACCCCAAGAGACTTCCAGCTGTAATTTATGCAAAAGGTGGCTCTACAAAGTATTGCCTTTGGGGGGGTGAATTGTTATGCACGCTCAAGTTCTGTTTTTTTGTCTTATTTCTTGTTTGTTTCACAATAAAAAATATTTTGCATCTTCAAAGTGGTAGGCATGTTGTGTAAATCAAAAGATACAAACCCCCCCAAAAATCTATTTTTATTCCAGGTTGTAAGGCAACAAAATAGGAAAAATGCCTAGGGGGGTGAATACTTTCACAAGCCACTGTAGATAATAAACTAAAGTCAAATAAACAATACAAATTAACAGTAAACATTACACTCACAACAGTTCCAAAATAATAAAGACATTTCAAGTGTCATATTATGTCTACTGCACTGTCGGAGTAATGATGTGCAAATAGTTAAAGTACAAAAGGGAAAATAAATAAACATAAATATAGGTTGTATTTACAATGGTGTTTGTTCTTCACTAGTTGTCTTTTTCTTGTGGCAACAGGTCACAAATCTTGCTGCTGTGATTGCACACTGTGGTATTTCACCCAGTAGATATGGGAGTTTATCAAAATTGGATTTGTTTTCACATATTTGTGGGTTAGTGAAATCTGAGGGAAATATGTGTCTCTAATATGGTCATACATTTGGCAGGAAGTTAGGAAGTGCAGCTCAGTTTCCAGCTCATTTTGTGGGCAGTGTGCACATAGCCTGTCTTCTCTTCCTTCCACTCTCTCTCTCCTCTCTCTATCTCTCTGACTCTCTCGTTATCTCTCACTTGTCTTTCTCCCTCTCTCTCTTGTTCAACTCTCTCTCTCTCTCTCTCTCTCTCTCTCTCGCTCTCTCTCTCTCCTCCCTCTCTCTGTCTCTCTGACTCTCTCTTTATCGCTCACTCGTCTTTCGCTCTCTCTCTCTCTTGTTCAACTCTCTCCCTCTCTCTCTCTCTCCCTCTCTCGCTCTCACACTTTACCGCCCTCTCTCTCTCTGAGGCAAGGACACTGAGTGACTGTGTGGAAGTGAGAGGAGAGGTGGCGTTAGCAGTTTGCTCATCAGGGTAGTATCTCCACTCCAATAACAATTACATCAAGTGGTGTGGTAAATGAGGTGGCCCGTGGTTCAATGACTGGGGCTAATCACTACAGTCTGCTCACTAAAACACAGTGATAATGATAGGCAGTAGGCAGAGGAGGAGTCAGCTGCTGCTGGCAATGCTTGATTTAACACACAGTCCTCCTTCTGCACTGTTATCCGCAGATAGACAAGTGTGCACACACACACAGACACAGAAATACACGCACGCACGCACACTCACACATACACATAGCCTACACGCATCTTCACACAGCTTTTTTTGTGGATGGGAATAGATGGAACCATGCCCAGATGAAATGAAGGCTCTTTAACCTGTACTCAACTCTGCCGTCCATGACAATACTGAGATGAGATCCAAACTGCTGGGCCAGGTTTAAAAACACACTTACACTGATCCAACATTGAGTGGATGGATGGTCAGAGGGAGACAGAGCATCTGTTTTACAGTATGTCTCTATTCCTCTGGCATCGTACCTCAGAGAGAGAAGTGTCTGACTCTGTTCTTTGGGATGGAAACTGGCCTGTCATGAGGTGATCTATCAAAAGAAGCTATCCTGCTCTGTTATTACCTCCTCTATCATCAGAAAGACACTGTAAATCCCTGGACAAATTTATATGAGTAGCCAGTGACATGTGGTTTGTATTGGCCCTTAGACAGCTTGCCCAGGATCAGATTTGTTGCTATTCTTTTAATGGTCAGTGTTAGGATTGGGTTTGGGAGAGCTGATCTGGAATAATAATAATATGCCATTTAGCAGACGCTTTTATCCAAAGCGACTTACAGTCATGCGTGCATAATTATTTTTGTGTATGGGTGGTCCCAGGGATCGAACCCACTACCTTGGCGTTACAAGCGCCGTGCTCTACCAGCTGAGCTACAGAGGACCACGGATAGACAAGTGGAATCAGTTTTGAAGGTCACAGAGTATGAGGAGGAGTCAGTGTTGGCTTCAGCCAGGCCTGAGCAGGTGCTGTAGGGCTGTGTGACCAGCTGGTATTGGTAATGTCTGGGCTGGGCCATCCATGATATCGGGGTGGGCTGCTTTGGTCCACTGGGTCTTGGCCTCTGGATCTGGACCAGGCTTTTGTTACTGCTGTCCTCTGGTCTTGAGCTCAGAACAATATGAGCTGCATCGCTAAACTCTCTGTGTGAGCGTTTGGCTATGAAACTCTTTAATGGGCCCACTGTGTAAATATTAGCCGTGGGTTGGCATTTTAAATCAATTTTAAATGTGAAGATAAAACTTGCCCTTTGAAAAGTCACAATGGCTGAGTTTGAGATAATGTCCTCTTGGAGTGGTGTGTGTGGATTTGGAATGTGTCCTATTAAGGTAGCAAGCATGTCTTTGATCACACTTGAAATGCTGCAGAAGGTGTGAATGTGAAATACTGCCTCTTAAGGTGGTATGTGTTCATTTGAGTTTGGTCCTCTTAAGGTGGTTTGTGTGGATGTGGATGTATCCGTGAGGCTCTGGTTGTGGACTGATGGAGGAGGCTTTGACAGACACTTAGTGCCGAGGAGAGGGGGTGGGGTGAGGGGGTGAGGAGAGGCGGGATAGGGGGCCTAGAGGGGTGAGATTGAGGGGGCCAGGTGTTGTGGCTTGGCGCTGGCATGCCTGGCACTCAGAGGGCGCTCTATGTTTAGCCCTTACATGATTTTACATGTGCTGTTTTTCCTGGGCCTGCTGCTGTTTGTTGATGGGACAGAATGGTTCCCCCTCTCGCACTCTCACTGGCATCTACCGGCCCCTCTGGTTCCACTGTACCCATGCTACATCTGACACAAGCACTTCCTTCTTTCTCTCCTTCTTTAATTCCTTCCATCCAACCTTCTTTCCCACTTTTCTCCTTCTTCCCCCTCTTCTCATCCCTTCATTTCCCAACCTTGAATACAACAAATATCCAACAGAGTCACTTAGCCTGCTTTTTTTCCATCTCCCCACAGAACACTATCACTCACCTTAGTCAATTTCACCCAACTATGATTTGTGTGAGACCTCCCTACTGGATGATAATAATAATAATATGCCATTTAGCAGACGCTTTTATCCAAAGCGACTTACAGTCATGTGTGCATACATTTTTTACTTATGGGTGGTCCTGGGGATCGAACCCACTACCCTGGCGTTACAAGCGTCATGCTCTACCAATTGAGCTACAGAGGACCACAATGACTGGTGGTTTGTGTGAGCGCTGTGGAGCCTTGTCATGGGTGGGTGATTGAGACCAGACATTGTGGTTTTCTCTCTCACCACTGCCCCCTCCACCCTATACTGGGTTCAGGGTTGGTTTGGCCCAGGGCAGTGCGGGTTGGAGTTCCCTGGGGTGCAGTAAAGTGATAGGGAGGTGCAGGGGTTCAAATCGCCCCCGGAGAGAGGGGTCAGATGTCAAAGCCTGTGAGCGGGGTCAGGGTCACCATAGTCAAACATGGGATGAGGTAGGCCCTTCCTGTACAGATCACTGCTGTTTATACATTTACCGCATGCGTGGGTGCGTGCACGTTTGTGTTTAATGAGAGGGCTAGGCAGCTCTGTTTGCTCTAAGCTGAAGCCTCATCTATCCACCATATTAAACTTCACCTTCCTTCCCTCAGCAGCCCCGCCACCTACTCAGCAGCTCCTAAGATGGACGACCCCGGGGTCATACCAGTCACCTCACTCAGACACTGGCCAAATACTGAGGCCCTGGCTGAATAATGGTCTGTCAGTGACCTCTAACCCCTGGCCTGGCTCTTATGTCAGATCAATATTCTCCAGTCCTATGGGAGTGGATTGTCTGATAATGATAGGTAGCATCCAGCCATCTAGACAGGCATCTATTAGTGCTCCCAGCTCATGCTCCATCAATGTCTTTATCTTCTGTAGATCTAGGTGTCTGTGTTTCTATGATCTAGGCTAGGGCTATATGCTACACTTGCTAGTTTTGTCCAAGGTGTGCCATTTTTTGTGGGGTTATTTTAACAAGGCTTGTGGCCTCTTGAGTTATGTGGCTTCTGAGATAGACAGAGAGCACCCTGAGATCTGTGTGTGTGTGTGTAACCTGGGGTTTGAGCACCCCACGCATGTAAGAAGAGGTAGAACATAGCATTGTCGTAAGTCAGTGTGATGGCAACCTGTGTTAGGGTCGGCCTTGAGACCAGAGGGTAATGGTATTGGCTGTCAGCCCCTGGGGTTAGGCACTGAGTGAGTGACCGAGCCCTGCTGTGTGTGTGCGTGCGTGTGTGTTGAATGACACTCACCCCATGCTGCCTCTTTCACCCTTTGACCACCAGAATAGGATCATCATTCATTAACCTGTCCTGTACTGTGAGTTAACTTCTTATGTCATTCATGGAAAACAGCTGAGAATCACTGTTAACTTCTCTTTCTCTCTTTGTCTCTCTCATTAACACTCTGGTTCTCACTCTGGTTCTCACTCTGGTTCTCACTCTGGTTCTCACACTGGTTCTCACACTGGTTCTCACTCTGGTTCTCACTCTCTATCTCTTGCTTTCACTGACTGTAAAACACATTATAATGTTCTTGCCATGTAGGACCTACCTCACACAAACAGCCATGTGTTTTCAATCTAAAATTCAATAACTCTTGTCCCTGTCTGAGCAGCTCTGACAAAACCTTTTGTTCCCAGGGCAATGTACCACAACAAAAGAGTAAAGTGTCTATTTTCTAGTTTCTCTTTTCTCATCTCTTTTTGCTGTCAACGCCCAGTCTGACTCTGAACCCTGGCAGAGAGCTCGGTGCGTGTGTGTCTGCACAGATGTGTGTGATCAGTGGAGGTAATGATGTCTGAACCATGGCTGGTGCTGGTGGTGTTGGTGGCACAGTGCTATGAATGATGGGCCAGGTGGATGGAGGTCCTCCTGCCCTGAGGGAGAGGGGGAAACACCAGGTAGAGGGAAAAATGTGGTCTCTAACTCAATTGGTAGAGCATGGCGCTTGTAACGCCAGGGTAGTGGGTTCCATCCCCGGGACCACCCATACGTAAAAATGTATGCACACATGACTGTAATTCGCTTTGGATAAAAGCGTCTGCTAAATGGCATATTATATTATTATATTATTTATAAATAGACTCCATATGGTGACATCAGTGCCCAGGGCCAAATGACCAGAGATGTATTAGCCTCTGCCCCGTCGGGCCACAGTGGTGTTACCTATCTAAAGAGCTCCCCCTAGAGGTCAGGGACATGAACTACGGAATGTGTGTGTGTGTGTGTGTGTGTGTGTGTGTGTGTGTGTGTGTGTGTGTGTGTGTGTGTGTGTGTGTTTGTGCGCGTGTGTGTAGAACACACAGCAAATGTCGGGGGAACAGATATGAAGGGAATATTCTAAAACCAAAGCACAGAGACTGTGGTTTGTCAGACACATTGCTTTTAGCAATGTAAAAAACTATGTAATTCTGTGAGAGAGCAGTTGAACCTTGTAATGTTTGCCCGCATGACCATTTAGTTTGTATTTAGTCATTTGTTATAGTTCCATTGTGTGGCTTGGTACAGGTCAGCGGTTTCATGTGGTCTGTGGAGGGAAAGTGTCTACTTTTGTCTCCTATTGTTATAAAACCATTGGAATCTGACCTCGCTCTGACCCCACTGTAATCATGTGTTATAGAAAACACCAGGAAAGCTTTCTCTTTCTCCCTCCCCCATTTCTCTCTTCTTCCCCATCCTGCTCTCAACCAGGGTGCAAACCATTCATTACCTGTGTTTGGTCACCAGAGAGAAAGAGAAGGGGGGAAAGAGAGGAGGAGAGGAGTGAAAAGAAGGATTATCGTTATGAGAGTGCTTTGTTAAGAGTGCTAGTCCCTGAATCCTACATGAGCCTGTCTAAGTGGCTGTGAGTAATTCAGCCAATCAGGCGTCATTAATCCCAAAGACGGATAGAGATAGGATTTGTGTGTCTTCATTTTTAAACTCTATTGGCTCATCGCGTCACATGAATGAATTTAACAAATGAAGGTGTTGATTTCTTAATGACGTCATTCGTTTTTGAGTTGTCAGCCTCACAGCTAGTTCTTTATTTCCTTGTCTGCCACAATGATGTTCGTTGTGAGAGACTTTGAGCGAACTCACAAAATAACTCTGACAAAACCCTGATGCTGATTTCCCCATTGAGCTCTGTCTGTACATTATGGTTCAGGATTATGTCTCAGTGTGGATTGATATTAGGTACTATCAGTCACAAGGCTCTCTTAGGTGTCTCTAGGAGGGTCAGAGTAATCCTCTCTGTGGTCCCTGTTAGCTCCTCTGACATAAATCCTCTGCTCATCACTTTCAGAAAGGTGACCACCCTCGCCTCTCAATCTTACTCTCTTCTCTAATCCGTGCTAATCTTTAAGGCAGGTCCCAGGTCAGATTTGAGTGACAGGTGAGAGCAGCTAAAGGTACACACAGGTTGAAAGGTAGCATTACAAGCTTAGAGAGATGGACAGACCAAGCTGGCTATCCCACAATGCCGCTTACTGAGGAAGTGATACAGTACTTACTGGTGGCTCTCTGGGTTTTGGTTGCCCTCTGTCAGTTATGGTATCAGTGAAAGGCTCAGAAACTGAGGCTGATGGAGGCCATGCTGTGCTGCCTGGAGTCACAGCACTCAGCTGGAGCATGAAAAAAGTTGGCCTTTAAGAGAGAAAACAAGGTTTCAGTTTCATGTTTGACCAGGCTATAATTAGAGAGAAAAATATGAGAATTTAGCTGACAAATCACACAAAAAGACACACTCTCACACAGAATATAGGACACACATGGGATGCACACACACACATGCAAGCACACACACAGCCACACGTAGCCACACACCCACACACACTCCTCTGTGGTCCCACCAAACCCAGTAGGACAGTCACTAATCCTGCAGCACATTTGCAATCCGTATAAGGACAACCTGATACCCCCAGCAGGATCCAGCCAATACACACCACCCTTTATACTCCTCACGCCTCTTAAAGCCTGGAAATGTACGTGTCAGTGGGAACAGCTGCACTGCCGTCCAACACAGCCTCCTCTCTCACCTGACCCTGAATCAGTTCTGAGTGCACCTCTCCCCCTGGAGAGGTTGTTAGGTGGGTGTAATATCTGCTGCTGGGTCAGTGAATCTCAGTCCTGAGAAACCTCCCACAGAGCGTGAGTGAGTTGATCCGTATCGGATCATCACTGCACAGTATGCACAGACACGGTCCCCAGCCTGTTCCCCTGGCCCCAGTGTGTCAATGAACAGAGGTGGAGTATTGAAGACATCCGCATTATGTCAGTGATACCAAGCTCGGCCATTAGCGACTCTGAGATGCGCTGGCCAACCTAACCCAATCTGTCTCCATTAAACGCATCAGAAATGCAACTGTATATGGCCTATGGGAATATGTGTTTCCCATCACTCTCCAGGAATGAATACCTGGCATATCTGGCTGACGTGCTCCTTCCTCTGGAGGGCCGCTCAGTTTACCCTGAAGCTCCATGTGAATCTGGTTGGGGCTGTTTCTGGGGCCTTGAGAAACACACTCTTTCCCAGCGCTGAGAGAGATTCCACCGGGTCTCTTCCATCACCATGTCATATTGGTCTAATGAAAATCTCCCTCTTTTGAGGGGATCCTCTTAAATCTGCCAAAGGCCCGTGCTAACCAGAGGATTTGGACTTTAGCGCTGGGGGACTTTAATTTCAGCACTCTCATAAGTCATCACAGCCCAGCTCAAACATTGATATGTGGCTTATGACTGACTAGCAGTCTGTCGTAAGATACTTTTTGGCTGGTGGTAGAGGGGAGGTTTGAGCGCCCGCTCTAGAGCAGTGAGAGGATTGAGAATGACATGGTGGGATCCTGTAAACAAAACCAGATAGTAGGACGTAGATGTGTCTTCAGACACATCTGGTTGCATTTTCTCTCGTCTAGGGCTCTAAATCACATACTTTTAGTATGCATCTTATGTTACTCCCCTTCTTGAAGTCATCACTGATCTGACATGACTAGATACAGTAGATGAGAGTTACACAATGAAGCCCTTGCTTATGCCTGCCCAATAGTGTTAGATCAGTGAATGACATCCAGAAAGGTAGAATCATGGAAATGCATGTTAGTATCAATACTATTAGACCTTGTAGTCTTGAAGAATCTTACTCATAACCTCTCTGCTTTCCTTCCAGGTTCTACCGGGGTGACTATCACATTGACGTGTGTATAAACGACTACCTGGACGTCTTCTGTCCCCACTACCTGGACTATGTCCCTGAGGAACGGATGGAACGCTATGTCCTCTACATGGTCAACTACGACGGCTACAGCTCCTGTGACCACACTGCCAAGGGCTTCAAACGCTGGGAGTGTAACAGGCCCCACTCCCCCAACGGACCCCTGAAGTTCTCCGAGAAGTTCCAGCTCTTCACCCCCTTCTCTCTGGGCTTCGAGTTCCGCTCTGGCAGAGAGTACTACTACATCTGTGAGTAAATGTAATTATTGACATCTTTATGGTAATTTAGCACATGCTTATATTCAACTAAACCTTCAAGTTAACAAAAGCATTCAGTATAAAGTATGGTCCATGCGGAATTCAAACCCACAACTCTGCTGTTGCAAGCTCCATGCCCCAACAAACTGAGTTAACACTGTTGTTACTACAGTATTATGATATGTGATACAGGAATGCTTTGCTTAGACAGAGAGCTACCACAGTTTTCCTGCATGGTATGGACATTTATGATATCAGTGGAGAGTTAATAGAGTATGTTGTGAGCTCAGGCTACTTGGGTAGAATGCAACATACTTAGATGATTCAAGGGTATGATGTGAGACATTTTTTGTAGTCCATCCATGGAACTGACAAAGGGGAAACAATAGCAGAGTAGAACTTGGTTTTGTAAGTCCTGGCAAAGAGGTTCAAAACCAAACATTTGCCTGAGGGGAAAACATCTCCGTTCTCGTGGTCTCCCTCTAAAGAGTCTTTGTTACAAACTCGCCAGGCACAGCTTTCTGCTGCTCGTGAGAAGGCCTCTGGAACACAAGCATCTGAAGCTATGTTTTTACAAGTGGAGTCGGAGCACCACAGGGCGGAGAGCTGAGACTAAATAAGAGAGAGCAAGGGGCGTCCTGCTAGGCTACAGTATGTCTCCTTCCCCCTACAGAGATGCCTACGCTTCAGTAGCCTCAGCCTCAGCCGCACGCCTCAGACCCAAGCTGCCTGACAAATCGCCAGTCCTTAAAGACACACGATCTACTGATTTGCTTAATCTCCTAGGATGTTATTCTACTGGATTGAATGGACAAAGGGTGGTGTGGGGCTTCTGTGTATATCTGTGAGTAGGTAATGGACTTTACCTTAGGATGTCTATCAGACTGTTTAATGTGCAAATAGGAGAGCCAAGATTTCAAAATAGCCATCAAGTATATATACAGTAGGGCTTTTAGAGTGAAACAAAGGGAGAGAGAAAGACAAAGAGAGACTGGCCACATGTCCTAAAGGCATTTCCCTCCTTGACTCAGAACTATGAATCAGCAGTTAGAGATTCACTCAGAAAATAGGCAGTTTTTCACCCAGAACATTGAGAGGTGGATGAAATAACAAACAGAGGTGTACGTAATCACACCCCGGGGAACATACTGAGGTGTACACTAATCTGCTCCAACATCCTCTCAACTCTTGTCCCCCTATGTAGTTCCAGAAAAGCTGTATATCTCACAGTAAACCATGTGATATTAGTTTCAGTATCACATTGCATGTGTCTGATCTGTTAAGTATAACAAAATAGTTACATTATTAGATGATACTAGCACATATTGTAACACTACTGGACAATGGAGCTGTGAACTTGCAACAAGCAAGTCAAATGTTTGGGAGTTGACATGTGCTGGTGTCAACGACTCAGCGCCAAACACAGACAGACAACCCTTTGTCCCCCCTAGGAGAAGAGAGGAACGGGTGCGGTGGGACACGGGTGGGTTAAATCAAATGAATGACACCTGCGGTTGGTTGGCTCTGGGTCTCTCCGTTCGTCTGGCAGACAGACGCCTGCAGGAAGCCATCAGGGGGATCAGAAGGGGCGGCCTGGGGGGTCAGAGTTCAGCCTGTCCTGATGTCTGGATGTGAACCCGGGCTTCTCCCAGGCTTAGGGCTGCATGTTTTTCTAATAGAGCCAATAGGGAAGTCTGATCCTAATCTCGGGGGATAGAAATCCAATTTTCTGGGGAGACAGTTGAGAGTCTGGCTCTCCCTGTATGACTGGGGCTGACTGTCTGCTGTAAAGCCCTGGCTTGAAAAGCCTAGGTTGTGCTCCGTACACAGTCTGAAGATCTACATAGATAATGAGATGAACCCTGTTCAGACTTAAGTTACACGGCATCTGAGCCCCTAGCTTTTGTCTGGTGTTGTGTATGTCTGTGTGTGTCTGGTGGTGTGTATGTGTGTTTGGGAGCATCTGTGTGTGTATAGTGTGCGTGCATGTGTGACACGTTCATGGGATGGCTTGTGTTCATGAGAGGACGTTTTCTGGGTTTGTACTTTATGTGTATACTCTATGAGTGTCTGCATGAGGTTTACTGTCCTCCAGTCCGTCTACTCTGCTCTGCTAGTTTCCTCTACTTGGCCGCATGGCATGACTAACCACAGATCCAGTGTTGCAGCGCGTGAGGCAGGGTCGTAGAAAAGCAGTTTATTGGCTGTGTGGTGTGTGTTGTGGAGCCCAGACTCTGTCTGTCTGGGAATGGAAAGGGAGCTAGTGCAGTCTGGCCTGCGTGCCTGCCACTGTAGGGGTGTGAGGTAAGTTACACGATACTCGCTGACACAGACAGAAGAGTCATGATTGACAACCCTGGCTGTTTTTTCCCCCACCACACTGCCAATATAACTCTCATCATCAAGTTTTAAAGACAATTTTTATCTTGTTTCATAGTCACGCTAAGTGCTTTGAAATGGGAAGCCCAGCCTTCTGCCGTGGAAATACTGACAAGGCTAGTTTTTATCTGGAATTTACTGCCAGTATCATTCACTGGGAAGAAGTAGCAACGAGCATGCCCCGCCCACCTGAGGATCTGTCTTTTTCAGCCTATTTCCTGTGTTTGGGGGGTGCAAAATCCACTTGTCACTTAAATCTCGCTGGATTTATTGCTTTCATTTTACTCTTGCAACTCTTTCATACTCTTGCGTGTGCTTGTCGTTTTTTTCCATTAACGTTACGACTGCGGAAATGTTTGTAATCACCTGCCAAACACACCGGTAATGGCTGAAATGGGCTCAATGGAATACATAGTCTTTCTGTTGCATCTATGAGAACAATAAAGCTTTGTCAGGGAGTTAATGCACCATCTCGAAAACTGACATCACAAGAAAGATAACTTTATTTTGATGGGTGTACATGTTTTGTGGAATAAAAAAATTTATAATAATAATTGAATACAGTTGAAATGTATACAAATGAGATGCGCTGAAATGAAAGCAACTTCCGAAAATTAACACTCAGATTATAGTGATATTATGTCTGATCTCGCAAACACTGTAAAGTATGTATAGATAGGTGTAACATAGAGCCAAGCATGTTGATTTTTAATCCAAGGGTATCCTGCTATTGACACACATGAAACAGAACGTGACAACAACAATAATTAATGAGGCAGTCTAGACAGTGCAGGTTAGTGCAGACAGGGTAGACAGAGCAAGTGTTTGGTGGTTGCAGCCCTGTTCAACCTCTTTATGTTAATATATGTGTTAATATATGCAAATATCTTATTCATGCAAATGAGGCACATATCATTTTCTTTATTTTAACCCAAAATTTAAAACAAAATACCTGATACAATAAGACATTGTACATATGAGTGCATTATAAGAATAGTTTTCTATTTTATATTTTTTATAAATTGAATACCTGAATTCCCACCAAAATCCCTGAACTCATTATTTGTTTGTGCGAGTAAAATGTGTTATGTGCTTTGTCAGTATCTGATGGATTTTTTAAATTCTAAAAGTTTGGAGTATCTTGTTTTGAAAACCTTTTAACAATTTCGATGACCGTTGCTTGAAGAAGAGTATCTCAGGATAGAGGATAGGCAAGCAATAGATCTCTTGTGTCAACTAACTCTCGAGCTCTGCGGGCAAGCGAGTCCTCTCCTCTCTCTCTCTCGTCTCTCTCTCTCTCTCGGTCTCTCTCTCTCCTCATCTCATCCTCTCTCTCTCGCTCTCTCTCTCCTCTCCTCCTATCTCTCTCTCTATCTCACTCACTCCACGCACTTCACTCACTCACTCACCTCACCACTCACTCACCTCACTCACTCACTCACTCAGCACTCACTCACTCACCTCACTCACTCACTCACTCACCACCTCAAACTCACTCACTCACTCACACACACACACCCCCACACACACACACACACACACACACACAGCATGATAGTGCCCTGAGGGGTGGGTGGGGGTTTATGACTAGATTAAGAGCAGCTTGAGACCCCAGGCAGGCCAGGAAATGATGGGGTCAGAACATAGAGGCCCACAGAGCACTGTCTGGGTGGGGTGGGAGAGGAAGAGGCATTCTAAAGATGAATACAAGCACGGGTCAGAGTCTGTCAAACTAGCAACAAGAACAAGATCGCAGTCACAACCTACTTTCAGTATAGAAGAGTGATAGGGACTTCAGAACTATTGCTTCTCAAGACATCAGACAATATGAAATCGCTGCAGTCTAGTTTGGTGATTACGTCCTAGGTGACATTGTCTAGTTGTTGACAGGTCAGAAGTTGGAGCGGCCTGAATTGAAGTGACTTGCCACCATTGGGATTTAGTGAAGCAGCTGTCATATTCCAGTTACCCAGAGTAGATGTCTGTCTAGCAGGGTTGTGCTACTTTACTGCTAATAGAACCCAGTGGCAGGTGTTGATGGCCTCTGCAGCCAATCAAATCTTTCATAGCAGATGGTGATGTTACTCTGAGCAATCAATTTCTGTGTTGCAGATGTTGGAGCCAATACAAGTTTGAGTAGCAGGTGCAAACAGTTCTTTGAGCCAATGGAAGTTTGAGTATCAGATGTGGATGTTACTCGGGAGCCAATCAAAATTGAGGGGGGCATGTGTTTTTGTTATTTGAATCTAATGGAAGTTTAAGTCGCATATGTTGCCCTCACTCAGTAGCCAATAAAAATATGTGTTTCAGGGTTTGTTTGGGGTGTGATAGCTCTCTGTTTGACGTATGTCTGTACAGAATAGCTCTCGGTTATTTGCTGTTAGCATTAAAGTACGTAAGCATTGTTCCTAACATATCTGAAATGTTTTCACAGCATCCACCGTTGCTGACAATGGAAGGAGAAGTTGCCTACGACTGAAGGTGTTCGTCAGACCAGCAAGTAAGTGGATTTCTGAAATAAATGTTATATTTCTCTCAAACTGTGAACAAACTTTTAATGCATTGTGTGAGAGTCCAATATCAATTTTGGGCTCGCTGTGAATGTTCACGTCCCACTCTCTCCTTTTGTTGCAGACAATTGTGTGAAAACTGTCAGTGTTCACGATCGGGTCTTTGACGTCAATGAGAGGGTGGACAATTCCCTAGAACCAAGAGGTTTGTAAGACACTATAAACTGTGTGGGGGTATGTGCCTGCCTGCATGCTTGAGAGTGTCTGTGTACCCGGGTATGACAAATTATATTTCCTGATACAGAATTCCGAAGGGGCTCATATTTTCCCATTGTTCCAACTGAATGGATAAGTCAGTCACATAGGAAGTTGATGGAATGACAAAGCCACTACATTTCGTACATTAATGTTTCAGTCGTTGCAGCTAAATTATGATGTCTCTTGATGTCTCAGTAATTCTTATCTCCTTCTCCTCTCTCCCTCCTCTCTCCCTCCATCATGTCCTCCCTCCATCTAGATGATACCAGTCACGAATCAGCCGAGCCATCCCGAGGTGACGTCAACTCAGTGGGCCGGGTTCAGACCACCGGCCTGCTGGTCACCTCCGCCCTGGTTCTCTGGGCAGCCATCTTGCCTTTATAGCGCCCAGCCTGAGGGTTTTAGACAGAGCGGAGTGGACTCACCCTGACTGGACCATACAACCCCCAAGGTGCACTTTTTAAAAGACAGTCTGAGTGCAGGGGAGAGGTGGACTTCTAAGGGGAAGTCCTTTTTTATAAACTTTGCTTTGGGGAGTTAAGATGCCAAAAGCCTTTTGACTCTCATTTTGTCATTTTACTTTCCTGTGGATGTTGATATTTGAAGGTCATAGTATCCCAGTGAATTTGCTGTCCCCACCCCCTCTCTCTCTCGCACGCACGCACACACACAGACACACACACACACACACAGACACACACACACACACACAATCGCTCTCTCCTCTGTGGCCCCACCATACCTTTTGCAAGATGAAACAACGGAACAAGAACTACTAAAAATAACATTTTTTCCAAGCCCCCAAATGACTTTGATTGAGAATATGATGAAGTCTTACAGCGAATGACTATGATAATTTGAAGATGGCTTGTGACTGATCAGATCAGCCAATGGCAATGAAGCAAAGGAATACTGGCCAATCAAATGAGGCCAAGGCATACTGGCCAATCAAATGAGGACAAGGCATGCTGGCCAATCAATGGTGAAACAAGGATCCAGAGCTATGGTTGTTGCTTGGAGAAGTCCTGTTGCCAAGGGGAGGGAGCTCTGTTATTTTCTTGCCTTTGAAGAGTTCATTAGAAGTTCAGGAGATGGGGGTTGGATTTGATGACTCAGAGACTGGGGGTGAACGATCTTAGATGAACCGAAAAAAAAGAAGAAGCACTCATGTTTAGTAATTTGTGTCCTTTTAGGGGAATTAGTGATCGATTCATGAATTTTTGAAATGAATCATGTAATTCAAGTATAGTAGCCAACACGGGTGTATATTTGAGAGGAGCGTGGGAGTTGATATGGTATTTTGTCAGGCAAATGTATTTTCCTATTTATTGTTGAGTCCATGTGCTCTTTCCCTTTTCTGATGCCTGTCCTGGTTCAGTCACTAACTACAGCGGAGAGAAGCCCAAAACATCCCACCACTTAAAAGCATCAGTCTCTCTTCTTATTTCGGAAAGGTGTGGTTATATTTCATTACCCATACACATGTAATATCTGGGCTTGGACTCAAAATGGAATTGAATTGGATTGTTTTTATCAAACAGAGTTCAGGGAAGAGAACATAGTTGGATGTTGTATCAGGGTGTAAAATGTGTGTTATAACTGTGTTTCTTCTGTGTAACAGTAAACACAAACTGTATGTGCCCTAACAAGTCAGCCCATATTACCATCCACTACTTCATTTCAACATTGTCATAACCTTTACAAAACTACAATTATGTACATAAACACAAAGTTCAGGGATGACTCTATAACTAATACGATTCGTTTCAATTATGTTCTTAGTAATATTCTTGAGTTTTCCCCCAAGCAAACAGCAAAACGTTCATTGATATTGATAGTTTAGCGACCATTCAGTGATAATCACCCTAAACGTCCCAACAGGTCCAACATTTCTCCTAGTTGCAGCAAGGTTGTGGCAACTTTATTTTCATCTATGGCAGCTGCAGCTCTGGTGTGATTTAGACATGTCTTTGATGTCGTGCGGAGCGGCGTCCAAGCAGACCACATGCTGGGGGGCCATACGCTGGTTATTTCTGGAATGAGAAAAATCGACCACCAGGAGGGAGAGCGAGAGATAAGCGAGAGTGAGGAAGAGAGGTGTCCTATTCAGCCTCTGGATAGGTTCACTAGCAGGGAGATAGAGGTGTCCTGTTCAGCCCAGAGGTAATTTTACCACCAGAGGACTGGAGTGAGTAATGAGGAGAGAGAGAGAGGGCCAGCTGAGATCAATAGTAATGGGCTTCTCAAACACAGGAACACTGTAAATATTTCCCTCCACTCTCTTATACACAGTCTATTTAGTGTACTGACACCAACTCACCTCCTTTGTAAAGGGGATGGACTATCAGTGAGAAATACATTAGCCTCTGCATCGGTTGGCTGTCGGTGTGGGATTCAGTTTGACCAAATCTTTAAAATAAGAAAAGCTGAACTTCATTGTGACTGACATCATTCACTTCAGCCAGTCAACGTTGGGAAACAAGGATCAGCTTGTCTCATGGATACTGTGTATCCAGCTGGAGTCTAATATAAAGTACAGTGTTAGAGCAGTGGTTCTCACACCTCTTTGAAGGACAACCACAGTTAACAGAGACACATTGTTAATGTTGTTAGTGAGAGAAAAAAGTCAATGTTGGATATCAAAAACGGTTGATAATTATTTTTAAATGTCTTTTATTATGAGAAACATGATCAATGTTACAGTCTATATCTTTTGTGTAAGCTTTTCACAAATCAATGTTGCAGTGTGTGTGTGTGTGGAGGTTGAAGTGCCCAAGTTAAGGGCTCTACTATTGGAAGTGCACTATATCCATCCATGCCCATCCCAAGAACCATACCGCACTCCCATCACCCTCCTCTTTTGACCAGAGCTTAGTAGTATTTGCATCTGAAATGTGGTTTAGGCGCCTAATGTTTTGAGTCCTTGTACATGCTTAGTTTGTCTGTGGTCCCTCTTAATCTTCACTCCAATGGTTTCAGAGGAAGCTTCGGTAGTCAGCAGCACCATGTTGTTGTATCTGAATTCAGGAGATTTTGTAAAGCTTGTTAAGTGTTGGTTTTCTGTCCATATCACAATAGCATAAATCAGCTAACTTGTGTAATTTTCTATTCAAAAGTTGATGTACAGTATGAGATGCAGTTGTGTTACAGGGTGAAGTGAGTCTGATAGGAGGAGCTCTTCACCTGGCACCTGTTACTGTAGCCATGTAGCCTGAACCTGACACCACTGTGCCCTCCTATGTCTCCTGTCCCTGTCCTCTGTCCCTGTCTTCTGTCCCTGTCCCTGTCCCCAGTGCCTGTCTCTTGTCCCAGCCCTATCGTCCTCACCTCCCCAGACTGTTGTAACCCCTCCCTCTCTCCCTGGTCCAACTCTCTTCACCAGAATGTTCTGCAAATGTACTGTATTTCATACGAAGGCCATTATTTGTAAATACACAAATGTGTTGGAGCAGCTATGACTAACTACAAAAAAAGATTTAATAAAAGTTATTTGTCATTGTTGTAATTATTGTCTCTCATTTGTATTATCTTTTGATTTTTATGTAAATTGAATCCCAACTGCTTTGTCTAATGGATGGAAAATCAAATAGATGCCAAGCTTTTGTTCATTGCTCTTTGACAAAAATTGAAGAGATGACAACAACTGTCAATTAGCAGTACACGTTAGGCATCCAAAGTTGTTTAATTACACGCCCTACTACTGAACAGATGTCATTCTATTATCTGAAATGAATTCACAAATAGAAAAACAACGCAACTTCAAACAATCATGCTTGAACCTGCAATGTGTTGAGTGATTTCCTAGGATCTCTGCCAAAAGCTGCAAGGCTTCGCTCTCATTACCCTTGCTTTCTCTCTGTGTGTCTCTCACCCCCCCCTCTCTCTTTCTCTCTCTCTCATGAGAGCAGACCGGGATTTTGACACTGAAGCCCTTTGCCAAACAGCAGTGTAGTTCATATTCTGATATCTCTGCCAATTACAATATAAGTGAGAACTTCAGAGGCTTTATCAGACGTTTAGGCTACATCCTCATAGAGACCCTGGGAACCAAACAATAACTAAAGAGAAAGAACAGAGAGTTCTCAATAAGAGAGAATCATTATAACGATCATGTGTTTTACCTTCAACAACAAGACACGGTTGAGCCACAATATACAAGATTGGTGGAGAAAAGAGCTGCCTCATTCAAGGCAGAAGACCTGTGAATCGGTTTGGTTTCTTTGACCTTTCTTCCTCTCCTTATCCAGTGACACCTAAGCCCATGGCCACACTTCATCATAGTCCTGAGGGGGGCACCCACACTGCTATTCTCAGCCAGCACTGTGGTCTGGTATGCTAACTGCAAGACAGACAGAATGTAATCTACTTTTAGTATACAATGAATAAGGGTTATCCTCGCTCATGAATGTCTGTACAGTGCGTACAGTAACCCAGACTCCAAATAGCTCTGTATTGCGTTGTGGCGGGTCTTATACCCAGTGGCGGCTCCTGAAAAAATTCTCAGGAGGGGCAATTTTTCTGATGATTTAGGTGACCTACACACATTTAAAAAAAGATATGTCCAGCAACAACATGAAGACAGGGGCAGCATATAAGTCAATACCAGAAGCATTTATTGACTGATCTCAAAAGTGTTGGCTTACCAGGCTTGGTGGAGCCCTCAGTTTCATCTTTGCCTCGCAAAGCTAACTCAAACACTCCGCAAAACTTCACACACTGGATTAGCCGGCTGAGGATGTGGCGGGTTCTTGCTAATGTCGTAGTAATTTATATATTTGTTATAGTGAATATGGAATATGTTGAGTAAAATGTTGTGCTAAGATCTATTTAGGTCAGGAGCTGGTTATAAGTTATGTTCCTATCCAATAACAATGGACAAAAGGGTCCTATCTTGTCAGCCTTGTCACCAGGTGGCCAAGGACAACACCCACGCCATAGGCCTCTCAGTTCTTCCAACTCACGAGTTCTTGCTCTGAGGACACACACACACACACAAACACACACACACACACATCATCACTGTTAAACACACACACACACACACATCATCACTGTTAAACACACACACACACACACACACACACACAAAAATCCCCTCTCTTAGGCTGAACATTTGAAGACAGAGAACCCGACTCAGAGCCAATGCAACAGTGACAGTAGCCTGGAGGGGACCTCGCCCAACTCATCAGGACCAATCAGAAGATCAGAACTACTAGATTGAACCTACTTCATTTATTGCATAAAATGTCTGCACACAATGTTTCGGGGCTCTCTTCAGATAATAATAATAATAATAATAATAATATGCCATTTAGCAGACGCTTTTATCCAAAGCGACTTACAGTCATGCGTGCATACATTTTTGTGTATGGGTGGTCCCG